GTAAGCGGAATGTCGACCTTCTCTACATGTAGTACAGGACTTGCCTCATAGTCTTCGCCATGGTGTGACAATACGCACCGTCCCTAGTTCTCTAGGTGAGAAGGGTCTAGACCCAGGTCAAAAAGTACCAAGATAAGGATAACATCGATATCATTTATTATGTACAGAGCAGAACCGACCGAAGAAGGATTGCTTTATCTGCGAGGCACGGGTCGAAGACAGTTGCTGTACCAGAACCACGGGGCGAATTGATGTAGTCCTTCCACATCTGTCAGTGAGAGAGGTCCTGTAGGTAGTGTGGAGGAGAACACAGTATCCGATCTCCAAAAACAGCCCTCCATGATGGACTGAAGGGAACAGTTCCTGTGAAGAGCCATGGTTGATGCAAGAGCTCGGGTCTCATGAGGCTTGGCTGGCGGAGGTAGGTTAGCAAAGGTATAGGCACGCAGGATCATAGTTCTCATCCCAAAAGCCAAGGCAGTACGGGAGACTTCCAAAGTCGAGGCAGTAGATATAGGGATGAACAGTCTCACGAAGTCTTCGACGATCCTGCGAGGCAGCTAGATAAATCCTTTAAGTTTCCTGGAGGTCCGGAGATGTTGAAGATATTCTGCCACCATCTGCGGGGATGCCGTAGTAGGAGACAAGATGCCCTTCTTCCTGCAATAAGTTTCAAAACTTTTCCACAACGAAAAGCAGAGTTATCCTTCGAGTTGCACGCAATTTCACCAGAATGTGAGGAAGAAGGGCCACTGGCGGAAATGTGTAAGCGTTCAGATCTTCCCACGGAATGGCCAGAGCATCCAGGTCCCAAGCTAGAAGGTCCTGTATTGGTGACACAAACCGAGGTAGCTGATGATTGAACCTCGTGGGAAAGGGATCTACTGTTGGAAACGTCATTGGAAGGCAAAGAGTCTGAGACACCTGGGGATGTAATTTCGGTCGAGACAGAGCATCTGCGATGACATTCTTCACCCCAAAATGTGGTTGGCCCGCACCAAGATTTTGAGAGAATCCACCAGGTTGAAGTATCGTTGTGTCCACTGTAGACGCCGTGGAGACCCTGTTGACCCCATTCTGTTGATATGCTACACCACCGCTGCGTTGTCCGATATGACCATGAGAGAGGTTGATTGTAGAGCATTCTGCCAGTGACTGATTGCTAGAATCACTGCCCTGAACTCCAGAATATTGATGTGAGAAGCGGGATCTTCGGAAGATGGGCTACTTCCCTAATCGCCCCGTTGAACAGAGAATTACCCGACCAGGGTGGGCAAAACAGGTTCGTTCTGAATCTGTCTTCCCAGGATGAAAATTGTAACAGTCCTCTACGCCTCATAGCCGTGGACATAGGAGAAGAAACGAGCCAAGAGATCTAGGATGGTTTTGAATTGTTCCTGCAATAACACCATAGCCGCTCGGATGTATGCTTGCTGATGGGTTGTAGCATGTGCGACAGACATGACCACCGCTTCAGTAGTTGTCAACATTAAGTTCAATGGAGCCATAATCTTCCTTATGGACGCATCTAAATGTATCAGTTCATGGTCTTCGACCAGAAAGGGCGAATAATCTCTCTGTTTCGTCCCCAACAGCGTGATATCATCATCTACTGGAGGAGAGGCAATCATAGATGACAATCCATGTACATGAGCCGATGCCAAGTTGAAGCGAGGCTCAGCAAAACCATCTTTAATCTTCCTCAAACTAGCAAAAGCCTCATCCAGGGACGCAGTCAGCTGAGTGATGCACGGTCGGGGAGGGAACATGATAGAAGCAAAGTCTCCAGTCTTCATATCAAAACTGGATAAAATGTCATCCTTCGAAGTACTACGCTGTAACTTGAGGTTATCAGCAGTCCAGATAAGTAGCTGAGGTGAGTCAACAGCATCCACACTCACATCCGAAGGAGACATACTTCCTGAAGACATAGACGGCTTTGATGAACGTAGAATCTCTTGCACAGGCACCGCTAGCGTAGTCGAAAACCCTGATGACTGAGTAACAGGAGATGACACTGGCTCCTGATGCTGTAGCTGATGCTACGACCAACACAAAGGCATCAAAGTCCATAGGTTGAGACGTTGGATTCCAGGAATCTGGCAAAACAGATCTCGCCGTCGAAACTGTAGCAGAAGGAACTGAAGATGAGGTATGTCACACAGCGAGGATGAACATACAGCTGATTGAGTCATGCCCACATGAGATGATGGCACTTGTGTGGTAAACGCTGAAACCTGAGGAAGCGTTGAACCATGAACCACTCCAGCAGCTTGAGACCATACCGCACCAGGAACACCATAAGTAAGCGTTGAGCCAGGTGGCCCATAAGTGAAACTCGCAATAAGAGTGAGCCTTGATCCAATAACGCTTTGAGTAAGCGCTGAACCAGGACGGCCGTGAGAGAGTGCTGAATTAAAAGCAGCATGATGAAGCGTCGAACTAGTAGGGAGCGTCAAACCGGAAACGCCAGAAGCAAATGCCGAACCAGGAGGAAATGCCGAACCAGGAGGAAGTGCCAAACCAGGAAAAGAAGGGTTAAGCGCCGAACCAGGAGGAAGCACTGAGCCGGGAAAACAAGGGTTAAGCGCCGAACCAGGACGAAGCGCCGAACTGGGGAAACAAGGGTTAAGCGCCGAACCAGGAGGAAGCGCCAAACCGGGGAAACAAGGGTTAAGCGCCGAACCAGGAGGAAGCGCCGAACCGGGAATACCAGGGGTAAGCGTCGCACCGGGAAGAAGCGCCAAACTGGTAGTAAGCGCCGAATCCATCCAAAGCGCCACACTGGAAGAGAGCGGCGCTCTGAGTAGCCACCTGGGATCCGTGACAAGCGGCGCTCTGCCCGTATATAACTGTCTTAATGAGAGTGTCACTCCCGAGGTAAGCGCCGCACTGGTTGAAAGCGCCGCACTGCCTGTAACCGTCACTTGTGATGTAATAGTATGAGTAGTCGCCACCTCCGACCCATTAGGGCGTTGAGTCACATTTACCAACAAGGATGGCCGTGGTTGTATGTCAGATGTAGACAAAACAACAATATGTGGAGGTGACGAATCTTCCAAAGTAATAGAACTAGACGAATGGGGTCAGAACAGTTGAAGCACAGAAAATCTTCTTTAGGAGATTTGGATTTAGAACGTATTGCAGATTTTATTTGGCGATCTTATTTAGAACACTTCAGCTCCAATGGACCTTCCGATGGATTCCTCGGATCTCTATCTGCCTTGCACCTGCTAGCTACCCGACGATACTCTGAGAATGCATCGTCGTCCAGGTTAGCACATAAACTACAACGTTTAGACCAATCGCATCGTTCATGGCAATCCACGCAAGAGTTATGAGGGTCTGCTGCCAAATAGTTACTATTGCATCTATCACAATGATTGCGTTTCTTTGAAGCGTGACGATTTGCTTTCCCGATAGTAGAAAACACAAACAAAAAACTCTCTTAAACAGCGTGGCGACAAGAAAGAGAATGACAAGTAGAGGTGGTCATGTGATCGTTTAGGCGAGCCCCACGCTTTGATGGATGATTGACAGGCATTGATGTCAGGGTGGGTCAGAGGCCAGTTAGATTTGACTCAACTTAGTTTCCACACATGGTCGTAGAAGAGAGAGATGGTGCATACCGTGAGATAGGATAAGTTATAAAATATATATTAAAACCCTCAAAGGGTTCAAGATTACTTAATGACAAGTGTATTTCTAAAAATGACAAACTTGAGATTTGTACTAAATGGGAAATGATATTTAATGATTGTGAATTTTCAATACACATTTCTGCAAATAGTTATTTATACTAAAATATAATTATTCAAAATGAACCTGACTGACAATGATTTGTCTACCGTTAGTTTGCAATGATGTTTCTGAGAGCATTTGTTGTGCTTATTAGGACTGTTGTGAAACCATAAAATTCTGGAATGATCTCGAAATCAATTAATAACTATTTACCATGAAAAATAAACATTACAAATATTTGATTTGGTTTGGTACATAACATAATGATGTATTACTAAATCAAATCATTATCTCTGCAAAAAAACATATCAATTTATGTAAATTTAAAAAATCAATTCCAAAATTCATTAAATATAAAAAGGCATCAAAATAGATATTTTCTGTTCAAAACTTTATTTTCAAGGGAAACAATGAAATTGATAAATTCAGTCTTAAGTCTTAAATGGAATTCACTCATGCCAATATTCAGCAACAAATTATAATTACATCTTTACACCTTTTCTGTGTTTGTTGTTACTGTATACCTTTGACTATGGGAACAAATAAAAAAAATACATAAAAAAACATGGGAATGTTAAGATACAATATGAATACACTTTGTCAAACTGATTTTAAATCATAGCTTTTGTGCAAACAGTAACAAGAGGGCACAGAAATCTACATCCTTTTCCCTTTCAATGGTGCATAAAATCACCAGAAGTGTAAACATAAGAGAACATACCATTAATCCTGAAGCATATGAGCACAAGTTACATAATAATGACTACACCGAAATCTTTCACTCACTCCCTACTCTTAAAGCTTTCAATATCTTGTAATGCCATGAATTAGAAATGGTACCCTGGTACTTTTCAGTGACTGAGTTTTGCATTTGACAGCAAAGACTGAAGTCATACATTCATAATAATAATAATCATAATAATGTAGCATTCATCAGTCCTTTAATGTTTGTATGATGCTGTACCATTCTTTTTAATTGACTCTGCATTATAATTAACATCCCAGACTACTCCAGCTGTACCATAAACTAGTTTACCAAGACTGACTACCGCCTGGTCACCTGACTCAACATAGGGAGTTTTTCCTGGGGACCTATTTTCACCTATATAGATACAGCACTGTTGTATGACATGGGATAACAGATGTGCCCACTTGCCTAATTAAATGCTAAATCTAAAAATTCAACAGTGCCCCTGCATACAGTTCAGATTGCTCCTCTTCACAGCAAGAATAGGCATCAACTGAATTCCAAGCTTTTCCTCAACAAACTGTTGATCTGGACTGGTGGGCAACCCAACATGGGATGGTATGGTGAACAACCTGTAAACATATGAAGTTATTTATACACACAAACATTTGTTTTTAATGCCATAATATAAATAATAACTGCATCCATGCGTTGATGTTTTCTGAGTAACCATGAAGGGATGCACAAAATAGACACAGATGTTGAGATTTAACTTAAAAATGCCTTATTTGACAATTGAGGTTAAAATGTAACATCAAAACAGAAAAGTCTAACTACAGTATATAACATTGCCAAAAAAGGAGCATACCTGTTAAGTTGTCATGACAAAAAGATGTGAACTGTCAAATACATTGATTCACTTAATGGAAAATTAACAAATACATCTTCAGCCATGCATGTGCAAATGAAACTAGCAAAATATCTCTATAATCCTAACAAAAGTGGGGTCAATTGTCTGATTGTGACTATGGCATACAGTGTTCATGAATTACTACCAGTTTGTGGTGGTACCAACGGTTCACAAAAAAAGCTGAGCCTATATTGCCTGACCACTGAGTGGGAACCTGCAAGTCCAATACATCTGTTCTTTGTTTGTGGCTCTGCCCTAACGTTGATATGTTCCAACTTACACCAACAATAATTTCCTTCATATCAAGCATCAGGAAGATGCCTTTACATCTGTGACCTTAACCATGGACATGACCTTTATAGATTACATATCATATTTCAGATCCCATATATATTATTTGTTATTTATCTCCTACTCTTCCCTGATATTAGGGATGGTGAGTTAAGACTTATGACAATTATTGTTCCCATTTCAATGCATAATTAGTAGTGTTGGGAATTGGTTAAAATTGATCATCGGTCCATTACAACCGATCAATCATCGAAAATAATTGGTTAGGATCATTTATCAAATGTTCCTGTTACCTTTGTTAATGCACAAAATAATTTACAAAAAAACCCATGTAGTTCTTTGGGTTTGGGGGTAAATTGCACAAAATGCATTTTCATACTTCACATATTTAAAGGATGGCTAGTATGTGAGGAACATAAATTTCCAGGAGTCTTTAAGATAAATTCAATCATGACTTGGAACAAGCTTGTAGTGCTTATGAAATGTAAATAAAATGACTCAGACAAACCAACCTTGTGAAAAAATATTGTTAATGCAAACAAGTGTTCCAAAACTGCTTGTGTTCGATTATGAGAAAACATTTTCGATTGCTTGGTCATTTAGTCACTGCGACCAATCTTCGATTATTTCAATTAATCAGAACACCACTAATAATTGGTTGACTGCTCACTTAAACTCAGAGCCTTGGTCACATTGTGGTATTCTTGGATTTGATCCACAAAGTCAATGGTATGTTGCCCCACTGGTGTTTTCTATATCAGGTTTCAAATTTGCTTCATTAGGAAATTTGGGATAACAAATGCCTGTCACCCTGCTTATCAATAAACTCCTGTACGGATTCCTAAGAATTTTTCAGCATAATACCGGTTTATCAATGTTCTTATATTTTCGGAATTTTGGATCCTGAACCCAACAAACGCTGTGTAAATTTGTGGATGTGACATTATGAAGTCCAGACTGAGGAATCACTATTTTCCTGTCCCCATCAATAATTTCCAGTCTGTATTTTCCATGGACAGGGTTGTGGATTTCTTTCAAAGGTAAATCAAACTTGTTCATTTTCTTACAAAAATGATAAAACTTGACAATCTTACTTTTCTGGGGAATGTCACCTCCTTCAAGTTTTAATCTAAGGCAGTCGTGATGTCATTTGAAATAACACCAATTCTATTTCTTGAAGGTTGAGCCTGAAATGCATCAAAATCCATCATTAGGTTCAATTGTACCTCATATGTTTGTTTCTATTTTATCTCACATTATGTGATTAATGTTAATAATGTTATATAACTTATTGAGTTATCTTACAAAAGTTATTAACAAATGTATACAATACAAAAGGTACACACAAGGACCCTCTTTATTCTATATGGAGTGTTATTCCACAAAAAAAATGAAAAGAATAAGACAAACCAAACTGAGGTAAAACATATTTTAATGTGGTTGCCTCATCAGCACTAAGATTACTCTGTAGAGTTTATTTGGGTAAACATACTGACAGTATGGTACAATGAACATATCACTGCACAATAGATTATAACGTAATAAACACATATGAAACACATAAACAGTCACTGAACACTATATTAATGCACACCATTTTTAACATACCATATCAAGATGTAATCGCACCCAAATAGTTCAGCTGCTGCCTATACTTAATATGTGGCTGATTATGAATTAGGGCAAATGAGACACTAACATGACTAACAATTATCTTCTAACTAAGAAACAAAGGCTAGGTTCTGTATGTACTGTTAGGATGGATTACTTGTTGAAGTGGTAGTACATCTCAGTGATGTATTAATGGTAATCATAATAATTATAAAGCCTTTTAAAATGGAAAAGAAACATATATTATCCAAGTCCTTCAAATCCATTAAATCCTTTCTTCAATATACATAATAATTGTCAAAACATATCACATTTATACAAGTTGTACACATGAAACCATGTTATATGCAAGATTACACTTTCTCAGTAAAGTACACATTCTAGACATGTTTGGGGTTCAGTCCCATCTAGGATTTGAACCGACTCTCGCCACCAAATCGTCAACATACAAAGTCAGTGATCTAGCCAACTCAGCTGTGAACATAATTATATTGTCAGACTTTCACCGCACCTAGTCAAATACATCCAAAATGGCCTTTGGTCCAAAATGTGTTTTACATGCTCTAACCTTGAACAGAGTAAATGACATGGCAACTAAATAATATTTCACATGTGGTAGTCTCCAAAGCAGTTTGCAAAAGAAAATTATTTAGGTGATAAACAGCTGGTGTTTCCTTTTGATATATTTTGCTGTAATCTTCAGGTTATTATAAATATGAAATGGATACTTACATGCACTTACATGTTGCATGAAATATCACTAAACTACATAAGTCAATAATGCCTTGTCTTCCTATGTGATGTTTATATGTGTACTTATGACCCTTCTGCAGCTGCCCTTAAACATACAGAAAGGTCTTAATGTTGAAAAAAATGGAGACATCTGCACTAGGCAAATCTGTGTTTTATGTACTGTATGTGTACATGTGAGTGAGAGAGTGAATTTAGTTTTATGCCGCATTTAGCAATATTCCAGCAATATCACGGCAGGGGACACCATATATAGGCTTCATCCATGTGGGGAATCGAACCTGGGAAGCAAACTTAAACCAGTGGGCTACCCCATGCCCTGTATATGTGTACATGTCACTTAAAATTTTTTAAAAAGAATTGGATGAAGCTTCAATACTTTTCCCTGTCCAATATGTCTATATGGCACAAGATACAGAGAGATTTGTTACACTGAAAAACTTGTAAGAGATAAATTATGTCTATTTCATTAATGTTTTGCAAAATGTATTTCTGCATTAATAAAGAATGTTTTATAATCATACAGATACCATGGGAGTTTATTCATTTGTCACATAAAAAGAGTGTCATGGGATAATTTCACGCAACATCATATTTAGAATGACAGAAAATCTTTAAAACCTCAAAACTAGTAACTATGCAACTTCCTGTTCATTAATGGTCAGTTGTTTGCCTTCCTCTGCTGACATCATCAAATCATAGCAGAGTCTGCTACATTAATAGAATATGGTTTTGATATTCATGACCTGATGTGATTGAGATAGTTTAAAACTGTTTCAACACACACTCCTGCATTGCTTATATTGTAAACTAACAACTGTCCAGGTTTGATAAACCATTTATGTGAGGGCTAACACCAGTGTCTGATCTTTAATTTATCCCCAAAGTCATTTGTGTAAGCATTTTTGATGTAGGCTTGTGATCTAAGTAGAGAGGAATCAGAAACATTGTTCAAAGTTAGAAAGCACAGAATTCAGGCCAGAAATTGGCCAGGGTCACATTAAACAGCTTTAAAGTCCTGACATATGTAAGGCTGAATAATGAATTTTGCCAGAAAGTATAAAGTAAGGGGTTGGAATATGCCTAGCAATGTGAAACACTGACCAAAGAACCCTACTGCCTGTTAAAGCCAGGAAATTGAAATTGAAACAGATGAAAGCTCTTTGAGACCACAGCATGAAACAAAATTACACATGAGTATCAATTCATCAAGCTAAGACTTTGAAATACTTCCATGAAATAAAAAAAAATGTAATTTTTAGAGTAAAATTGATATTTTATACTTATCCTGACTCATGCTCTTTTGCTTGTCTTCTTCTTCTTGCGAACATAGTGGAACACTTGTATCTCCTTATTTGAAGCTCCCTTCAAAATAAAATCACTAATTGGTACTCACCACGAGTTGCTCCCCTTTGTCTCCCCTGGCGGGAAAAGGTGTCGCCACCCTCTGGCCATGTGCTCCACTCTCTCCTGATTTAGCGAGCCCAACACTTGAATTTACAGGGAAATCCAAAGTGTTATGTGGGGAGGATGGGAGGAGCTAACCTCATGAGTCAGGATAAGTATAAAATATCAATTTTACTCTAAAAATTACATATTTTTCCTTATCCTGACTCATGCTCTTTGCTTGTAGCATCCTACGGAGACGGAGGTGGGTAACAGAATACTTTGGATTTATAATTAGTGATTTTGTATAGATATACTGTAATATCCCCTACGGGAACTTCATGAAGCCTTAGATTTAGGATGTTTCCTGTATAAAAAAAACCATAGGTTATATAAAGCCATTAAAGGGAATTACATTATGAATATATTGAACAATACATATAAATTATATATATATATATATAGGTGACTCTGATAGAGGCACTGAAATTGACTATATCAAGTATATGCTTAAGGTAGAATACTTAAGCTGAACATATATACATAGCCCTAAAACTCCTTAGAGTTATAAGCTAGATGAGTATGTATAAAATACATATTAATCTTGTGAGGCTAATATTTTAACGCCCTCTGAGGGACTGTCAGTTGCTGGCGAGGACCAGTGGTCGAAATGGTGAATGCCAGAGACATCTTCTGTAGTGATGTCTCTTAGGTAGTGATTAGCAAATACCATGTTAGATTTCCAATAGCATCCTTCCATAATCGTGTTTCAAGGAACAGTTACCGTGTAGGGCGAGGGTAGAGGCCAGTGCCCTGATCTCATGTGGATTTGATGCTGTTGGTGGGTCCAAGCCTGCTGCCTTGTAGGCACGGGAGAATGACAGTCCTTATCCAAATAGATATTGTGGTCCGTGACACTTCTGTTTGATTAAGTGGCGATAATGGGATGAATAAGCGTTTGAGAAATCTTCTCCTTGTTTTGGATCGTCGTAAATAAACTTTGAAGCTCTTACGGACACAGTGATAGGTCTTGTGTATCTTGTGATCGAGAATAGAGGATAGCGCCCGGGATGTGGAATAATCTGTCTGGTTGACCTGGCAGTTGATTCTTTACAATGAAATCCCATCTTAATCCGAGGTGTGCTGTGTTATGATTGTCATCAAACTGTATCCTCTACGTAATCCAGGCGTGAATTCAGACATTCTTGCTGCTGTGGCTAGCGATAGCAGAAACAATGTTTTCTGTGAGAGAAATTCAAAGTTTGTCGATTCAAGGGTTCATAGACCTCACTTTCGTGAGGTGTTGTAACACTACATTCAGATCCCAAGCTGGAAGCGTGGAACTTCCGCTTTTGGTCCTCCAATCGGAAGCTCGTAGTAAGGCCAGTAACTCTGGAGATCTTGTCAATTTGACACCCGTTCTCATGGTGATTACAGAGCTAAGCGGCAAGATATGTTGATATCGTTGAACCTTTTAAATGTTTGTTTTGGCGTAGGTAACACAAATAGTCTGCCACTTGAGGTTGTGAAGCCTCTCTTGCTGTAAACCCTTTCTTTGTTGCATAATTTTGAAACTGTGCCACTTGTCGTCGCATTACAAGTTACGAGTTGAGTAACGTAAAGGCAAAGCGTGACTGCTTTTGCGCCCTGGCAGAATATCCTCTCTTGTTTAAACACATTTGTATACAGTCCATGCGTGTAGTTGGAACATTGCTGGGTTTCCGTGCACTTGTTTGGTGTGAGGATGAATTAACAGGTTTCGCGGCGCTTGGGTAGCTCCAGTGTTGGTTGACCGATTTCTTGAATTAGTATGGAAACCCGCGTTCTGGCCGACCAGTAGGGGCGACGACCAAAGTGAGTTGTAGGCTCTGTGTTTGTCTGATTTTCTGTAATACTTGAGGTATTATTGCTGGCGGCGAAACGCGTGACGCATTGAGGCCTTCCATGATAGACTTAGAATCCGTTGCCCAAGCTTGGGGATCTGGGACTGGTGACACGAATAATGCGATAGCTGATTGTTGAATCGGCGTGGCGAATAATAAGTCTATTAGCGGCTCTAATTGCTTGATTATCTGTGCAAAAATTTCCCGGTTGATCATCCACTCTGTCGGTGATGGTAGATGAGGCCGAGAGAGAGCGTCTGCTAGTATATTTCTGGCTCGGGAATGTGCACTGCTCTGACATGTAGATTTAGATCTTGTATTAAATCGAACAGTTGAAAACTTAGGTTCAAAAGGTTCATCGATCTCGTTGAGCCTTGCTTGTTTATGTAGAACGCCACTGTCGAATTGTCTGTATGGATCATTAGGCGCATTTTGTAGAAATGTGCTCCAATGTAGAATGGCGTTGATTACAGCTTTCATTTCTAGACTGTTTATATGGAGTTTGCATTCTTGCTGATTCCATAACCCTGATATCGTGTGGTTGGTGAGATGAGCTCCCCAACCTTGGAGTAATGGCGTCTACATACAGATGGGTTTTGTATTCCTGCTCTGCTAAACAAATCCCTTCGCAGACATTCGATTTCTTGGTCCACCATAGTAGATGTGGTCTGAGATGTTTTGGTAGACTGAATGGTTGTACATCGTTGAGATGTCGTTGATGAGGACCTGTAGGGGGCGTAACTGTAATCTGCCTGTGACAGTCATGTCTTGGGCTGATGTGAGAAGACCTAGTAGGCTCTGCCATTGTCGCGA